CCACGTTTCTTCTGGTTGGGTTAGTATTTTTGCCTGACAAGTCATCGTCCATCCTCTTGCTCTCAAGCTGTGCATGGTCCCTTGCTTTAGATGTCTCTGTGTGGATCTGGATTCTTCAAAGTTGAATCACTAATTTTCTTTTAACTGATACATTTAGTCCATTTAACTCATGGTACTAATTGGAATATTGAGACCCATCTGTCATATTTAAATGACAGTTTGGGTGGATATAAAGTTCTAGATTCTAACTTCTTTTCCTTCAATACTTTGCAAATACTATGTTATTATCTTCTTGTGTCCAGTGTTGCTGTTGAAAAGTCTGATGTCAGCCTGATTCTCTTTCCTTTATATGTGATATGCTTTTCTCTCTGTAAGCGTTATCTCTGATATCCTTAACGTTCTGGATGACGTATGTAACTGCGAGTTATTCCTTTTTTTCCCCCTTTTGGCACTCTTTGCACTGTTTTGATCCAAGGTGCTTCATATTTGTATTACTCCAGGAAATCTGTCTCCGTTATTTCTTCAAATATTTTCTCCTTTCATGTTTATATGTCTCTGTAGAATTCCCATTATTCAGACGTTAGCACCTTTCCTTGTATCTTCCATATCTCTTAGCTTTTCTTTTACAATTTTATTTCTTCAGTCCTTCCTCTTACAAGGTTTTCTCAATCTAGTCTTCTAGTCAATGTTTCATTTCTAAATTGTATTCCTTCTGTCGTATATCCTGTCTCTTGTGTTCTTTATTTCAGCTCAGGCTGAGTTCTCTAGCAGGGTTAAACTACAGGTGACCATACGGGAAATTTCCTGCATAGAGAACTCTGGGAGCCAGTGTCTGAGACACTTCAACAATAGCCCCCTGCAGGGCAAGGCAGCGGGTGTTTCCCTGTCAGCTCCCACCAGCCGTTGTGGGCGGGCTGCTTCTGGAGGCGTTAGCTGCCAGCCCACCCATGTGCGGGTGGACCAGTAGGTGAGCTGGCTTCAGTGGCCGGAGAAAGTCCTCAGGCAAAGGCAACGGCAGGTGCTTGCCGTTGAAATCTGGCCAGCGTGCACAAGTCTGTTACGTGCTGAGAGGATACGTGTGGGATTCTAGAGAGTGTGCACTTCTCAGTAGGAGACGCAAGTCCATAAATGCAAAAGCCCTGGGGCCAGTGAGTGCTGGTGGGATGTAATTTCCAAAGCTGACGTGAATTCCATGGCCTCTGAAGGAGACTGGGCTTGGTGGCAGGGCTCGGTCTACAGCTTCCTGATCTTCCAAGGCTTCCTGTTGCAGGGGCCCGTTCAAACTTGGTCTCTTGTCTGCTGGTCCAGTACAAAGGCTTTAGTAAAATTCCTAAACGTGGAGTATGCTGCCTTCATACTCAAAGAAGCCATACGTACAAAGAAGCCAAGTTGGTATAGGGCCTCTTTCTTCGTGGTTGGAGGCGTCAGGCCAGCAATTTATCTTTAGCAGTTGCCCAGATGTTTCCTAAGAAAGTCCCTTGGGTTACAGGACCCTGGATTCTGTCTGCCTTCAAGGCCCAACCATGTCTGCTTACCTGTACCTGCAGAACATGCAAGGCAGTGTGGACAGTTTCCTCAGTAGGAACTGCTGTCAGAATATCATCGACGTAAAGGAAAGTCAGGACTGCCACCAAGTGGCTTGTGTTGTGCTCAAGTTTGGTCCATTGATGACATATTGCAAGAGAATCCAAAGTCCCCATGGAAGGTGTAAAGGCACACTGCCTGCCTTGCCTGGTGACACAGGAATAAAGTATTACCAATGTCCAAGGCTGTCTACCAGGTGCCAGTGGCGGCGGCAATCTTTTCAGTTATTGTTATGATGGAACCTGATGATGCCCAAATGTCCATGTCCTTATGAACCCTTGCTAGTTCACTGTGAGGTGCCAAGTACCAGAAACCTTTGTAACTAACTAGTCCAGGTTGCTAAATGTGGAGCTAGTGCTGCGTATCACTCGGTTCTCCTTAATTCTTGTATGAGAAGAGTACTCTCTTCCTCCTTGTCGTGTGCACTGTGGTTCCCACTGCATGACCTCGGCCCAGGGGATGAGGTGTAGTCAGTTCCTGGCTCCGTATTCAGTCGACATTTATAGAAGCTACCAGCAGGGGTCACAATAAACACATCCAACCAGCAAGTGTCCCCGGGCGGCAGCACCCAAACCGTGCATCCCAGCTACACACTCTGGTAACACGACAGTGGTCTCAGTCTAGCCCGAGGGTCCAAGTGCCCCGACAGCACTTGTGATGGTCCTCCGCTGGGAACACAAGTTCCACAGAGGGGAATTCACCGACCAGGCGTTATGGGTCCCCCACCCGCGCAGCACACGCGGACGGAAGCGTGTGCTCAGAGCGCTCAGAGCACCTGGAGAGAGGTGAGGAGCTGCCCCAGTCATCTGTCAGTTTTAAAGAACCCAAATCAGGGCGCATGGGACTCACATAGTAGGATCTGTGACTGTGCATTCCTCTCCCAAAACCCTCTTCAGGAAACGGCCTGGGATTCCAGAGGCCACAGGACGTTGTAGGGCGGGGGGAGTGGGTGACACCACAGGGCAGTCTCTAAAGCGCTCTGCTTCCTGGGGACCTCCTCACCCCGCTGTTTCAATTGTTCCTCTGCTAGAAACTGCTGAAGCTTTCGGACTCCTCTGTCTGCCTTGCCTCCCTTCACTGGCCTCGTCTCTGAAGCCAGGTGCCTTCCTCTTTCACGTGGGGCCCGCAGTCACCTTATGTCTCCTACAATTTAGCATTTTGCCCATCAAGGTCTGTCTTATTAATCCTCTTTACCGTCCGTGGCCACACAAGGCTTTGCGAGAGGGGGCCTCGGCACGGAGGTCCCCCCCTTTTTTGGTTCCCCATTTCTTTCTGTCCAGGGCTGACAAATCAGACACTTTTTGGAACCCCTCCTGTCTGTCCCCCCTCCCCCCCAAGGTGGGGCATACATTGGCACAGAGGGCAATTTTATTTCTCTTAGTGCCCCGTGGAGCAGGTGCACAGAAGAGGGAAAGACCACGGGCCTGAGGATGGGCAGGTAACGTGGTGTGTCTGTGTCAGGCAGGGGCATGTTAAGTCTGGAAGCTACGGGGCCTGGAACGGCAGGCTAAGGGATTTTGACAAGGATTGCCTGAAATGGCAGCATCTGGTACGTCAAGAGTTGGGGCGGGGGGAATGGGTGTTGCGGGAAGGGCCAGGACGCAGCCTGACCGGAGCGGAGAGCCTGACTGAGGCCGACTCCGTCTTCCCAGGGTGTTAGGGCCACAGAGAATGCCCATCGGGGAGCGACTTTGATTCTCCCCACAGCCCTGTGAGTGGGGACAGCCATCCCCGCCCTAAACCAGGTGAAGACATTGAGACCAACAGAATGTGGGAGTTTATCACCGACAGACAGAAGGAGCTTCTAGAAGACAAACTTCAGAAAGAATGAAAATGCCTCCAGAGGAGAGGTCTGAGACGAAAAGGAACGAGGAGCAAATTCATTAATGATGATGATGTCTAATTTGGGGGTGGTTCTTAAAAGGTCAAGATAAAGTACTGGCGAACAAAAACACGGAGTAACAGAGAGGGAACCGTGGTTATTTAAGGGTTCTTAGGCTTTGTTTGAAGGGAGATAGATCTCTTGACTAAGCTTAGACTGTAAAAATGTCCAGGGTAATCTCCGAAAGAGTAGAAATAGTGTCTAACTTCCAAACCAGGTATAAAGAAAAGCATAAAACTCAATCCTTCAAAAAGAAAGCAAGGAAGGAGAAAAACAATAGAAAGCGGGACAAACAGAAAAGTATTATTTGTATAGATAGAAACTACTCTGTTTTTGTTTAAGCAGAAAAGGAATTTTCTAGAACATTTTAGGTGACTCATTGTGATGGTTAATTTTCTATGTCAACCTGACTGGCTGAGGGATGCCCAGGTAGCTGGTGGAACAGTATTTCTGGGTCTGTCTGTGAAGGCGTTCCTGGAAGAGATTGGCATTTGGATCCGTAGACTGAGGATGGGAGGCCCCCTCGCCAATGCAGGTGGCCGTCACCCAATCCGGTGAGGGCCTAAAAGCAAACAAAGATGGAGGAAGAAGGGCAAATCTGCTCTCTGTTTGCGCTGGGACATCCATCTTCTGCCCTCGGACATCGTCGCTCCTCGGGCCTTGAGACTCAGACTGAGGCTTACACCATCGGCCCCTCTGGCTCTCGGGCCTTCGGGCTTGGATTGAGTGACACCACCGACTTCCTGGGTCTCCAGCTTGCAGGTGGCAGATTGTGGGGCTTCTCAGCCTTCATAATCTTGTGAGCCAATTCCTGTAATACATCTCCTCATATGTATCCTGGTTCTGATTCTCTGGAGAACCCTGGCTAATGCACTCATGGAATCTCGAGAGGGTCAAGAACCCGTCCCAGCGCTTACACAGCCAGGAGAAGCACCAAACTGAAGCCGCCGGTGGCCCCCGCGGGGAAACTGCTGCTCTGGAGGCATCTCGCCGGGCTGGCCCAGGACATCAGCATCGACCCCCATCACTGTTTCTTCTGGAAGGTCAACCAATGTTAGTGCTTTCACCATCATCGCCATTAGTTTACTGAGAGCTTTTATTTGAAACGGATGATGTATTTTTATCAAATGGAATATAATTGTGTAGTTTTTCAATTTAATTGTATATATAATCAATTATGTCAATAGATTCCCTTGGAGAATCATCCTTACATTTCTGGAATAAACCTCACAGTGTATGATTCTTTTGAAACATTGCTAGATTCGATTAGGTATTTTATTTAGAAAGTTTGCATCTATATTTATAAGCAACATTATTTTTTGTAGTATCCTTGTCAGACGTGGCTATCAACATTTTATCAACACCATAAAATACATTAGAGGGGTTGCCACCTTTTCCTCTGGTCTGGAATATTTATTTTTATTTATTTATTTATTTTTTTTTTCCTTTTTCTCCCCAAAGCTCCCCGGTACATAGTTGTATATTCTTCGCTGTGGGTCCTTCTAGCTGTGGCATGTGGGACGCTGCCTCAGCGTGGTTTGATGAGCAGTGCCATGTCCGCGCCCAAGATTCGAACCAACGAAACACTGGGCCGCCTGCAGCGGAGCGCGCGAACTTAACCACTCAGCCACCGGGCCAGCCCCCCTTGTCTGGAATATTTAAATAGCATTTGAACGACCTGCTATGTAAAGGTAAGACGGAACTGTCGGGGTCCAGTGCCTTTTTCCACGGTTCAAAGAATAACCACAACGAAAGTGTACATTGTGTTTAGATTTGGAAAACTAATAGTAGCTCTCTATAGACGCGGCTGTAGCCAGAAGACAGCAAGCTCCAGGCCTGGGAAATGACAGGCCCTTAGAGAGGAGAGAAAGGAGACAGCAGCACTTCTGAGCTGTTTACTAGTTCTTTACACATCCAGTGAATAACCACTGGGAGAGTTTACGGACTTTCCTTAATTCTCACGCTAGACGTTTTTGTTACTTATGTAATTATCCAAAAACAATGCTTGACATATCTTAGCATGAACTCAAAATTTATTTTAAAAGAGAAAAAGACGAACTTCACAGAATGTAAGAACCAGCTTCTACGATAATACAGCCAGTAATAGGAATTTACTTTAGCCTAACAAATTTAACTGGTAAGGGGTAATCTATGACCTTAAAGACGGAGCCAATATTTCTTGTTTGTTTGTTTCTATTCTTTTCTTTTTCTTTTTTTTTTTTTTTGAGGAAGATTAGCCCTGAGCTAACATCTGCTGCCAATCCTCCTCTTTTTGCTGAGGAAGACTGGCCCTGAGCTAACATCCGTGCCCATCTTCCTCTACTTTATATGTGGGACGCTGCCACAGCATGGCTTTTGCCAGGCGGTGCCATGTCCGCACCCAGGATGCGAACCAAAGCGGAACATGCGAACTTAACCACTGCACCACCAGGCCAGCCCTCAAAAATGTTTTTTTAATCATTTGTTTGAATCAGGATCCAAACAAGGTCTACGCTGTGTTCCTCGGGCTGTCTCTTGCGTCTTTTTAATTATAACATTCCCCTCTCACCTTTTCTCATGTCTTTTATTTTTGAGGAAACCAGTTCCTTTGCCTGTAGAATTTCCCACGTGCCTGATTCGGCTGATCGGATCCTAGAGCTGGGGTCTCACATGTTCCTCCGTCCCCGCTTTCCTTGTAAACTGTGGGTCAACCAGGGGCCCTTATTTTGGAAAGAATATTTCCCAGGTTTGCTACTGCAGCGCATTGGGAGGCGCGCTCTGCTTTTAATGCTGTGAACCCGATGAGTGGGCTCCAGTGCTGTTGGCAAGGTGCACCTGTTCCCTCTTGACCTTTCACACGGCGGTTGGAGGTCTGTCTAACTTCAGCAGTTTTTATTCTTCAACCTTTTCGCTCTGTTCTACAAGGAACATGCACTGTTTTGTTTAGAAAACAACGGGGCACTTTAAAAACAACTGCTAAAAGGATGACTTCTGAGACTAAAAGCCTGTATAGGTAGGGACGACCCAGACAGGTCTGTGTCCCTGCGGGGGCAGCTGGGGGGCCATGCAGCCTAGAGTGGGATGTCAGAGGCCCAGTGGGCTGTGGGAGCCTGAGCAGGGTGACGAGGCTGTCCCTGCAGCTCAGGGTGGGCATCAGAGCCCGAGCAGCCTGTGTGGGCATCTCAGGGCAGAGGGGCTGGAGGGGCAGCCTGGGGGGTGAGCGGGGGCCTGAGGGCAGTGAGGGGCCCTCGTCGGGGTGGAGCGAGGAAGAGTCTGCATGGGCAGTGGTGGCATCAACGGCCCAGCCAGGAGCCTCAGAAACTGAGTGAAGTGGGGAGGGGAAGAGGGTGACAGCAGGGACAGGAGTTCTGTCCTGGAAATTGATCCAAGTAAATATCTAGAGGAGAAAGGGAGGCAGCTTCTCACTATCAGAGAAGGGAGGTGAATATGACAAGGGAGAAAAGTAGAGTGAACCCCGTGGTGTGTCGGACTGGAATCGGAGCTACCGCCTAAGTCATGGTTTTCGGTCAACGTAGAAAAAAGTAAATACAGGTTGAAACGTGATCTATTCATTTCCTAGCTCTGTCCACGGAGAGGGCCTGAGAGCGGCGACACCCCAGGAGCGGTGAGCACCAGGGCATCCAGATCTTGGTTTTTAACACCACCCTTCACTAAAAGGAACCAGGGCGCTTTGAGAAAATGGCGGATTCCAGGGTCAGGGCAGGGAAAGTACAAGACGAGCCTGGAACAGTTTTCATTGTTGTTTTACCAGAAAGTAAGAAAGTGCTTAAAGAGTGAGGGAGACATGTCAAAGGAACATCGAAGCCAACTTCCGGGAGCTCCCACTGGTAAAACTCAGGACAATTTGAGGTGGGAGCTTCTCTCCCCATCCCGAGGACACAGGGCTCAGCAAGGTCAGGGAATGTGGCCAGGATCGTGCAGAGGGTGACCCGGGGAGATCCAGCCCAGGGACAAGGAGGGAGAGAACGTGAATGTTTGTCATGCTGCCACACCCACCTCCTCTGGGGAACAGCCCCTCCCTGCCCACGACATGGAAGGCGCCGCAGAGCCAGCCCCTTCCGCTCCCCCTAGTCTGCACCTGGGCAGAACCCTTCTTGAGGACACCAAGGGACACAGACAGGACCAGCTGGGGAAGGTGGGGCAGGGAGCCTAGGTCCCGGTCACTCATGGGCTCAGTGCTGGGGGGCACCAAGGACAGCACCTCTGGGGCAGATGGGTGAGAATTCAGCCCACCAGCCATGCTCCCAGGGCCCGTGTCCGGCAGCCCAGAGGGGCACCTTTTTCCAAGTGCACTAGAGTGCCAGGGCCCCGCCTGGGCCTCCAGGGTACAAACTTGGGAGAAAGCGCAGGAGAGAAGCCAGGGCCGCTGCTGGGGCTGGGAGGGGGCGGGTTCCCCATCCTGCGGGCTTCACAGACCTCACCACACCGTGGGGGAGCACAGAAAGGGGCCATCCGTTGACAGGTGGAGCCACAGGCTGGGTATGGCCCCTGGGGCTTGAAGGGGTCTGGAGGACAGGGGCAGGGCGTGGGCACAGCCCGGAGGGAGCCGGACCACCTGAGTGAGGAGGGGACCCTTGCCCCTGCTCAGCGCTCAGGCCACAACCCGCTTCGGACAGTCTGGCCTTTGCACTGAGGATCCCATCACCACGCCCAGCAGGGGCCTTTCTGAGAAGGGGCCCCCTGGGCTGAGCTGGGTGGGAACGCAGCAGCAGAGAGCGAAAGGGTCCTGGGCGGTCCCGGGTGCCTTAGCGAGGGCGCCTTGTGGGCTGGCGACAGAGAAGGCCGTGAACCGGCTTCTGGAAATTACAGCTGGGCTCTCTGCAGCCCTTTTGAGGACCCAGGAGCCACGTGGAGTGGCATGGGGCGGACTCCCTCCCATTCCTTTCACACCTAGCGGTCCTTGTTCAGTGGCTCCCACCCATCAGACCCCCATGGGCCCAGGCAGCCTGCCTGGCTCTGCCCCTTATCCTCAGGCCTGCCGCTGGGCAACACTCAGTATTTGCTGAAGTAATGGAGGGATGTTCTCAACCATGCTTCGCACCAGCCCTGGAGGTCTGAGATCACGGCCCCCACGTTGCAGACCAGGACACTGAGACTCAGGGTCAGACAGCTAAGTAAACGGAAGGGCAGCCCCGTGAGCGCCCCAGCTGGCTCGCCCCCAGGCCCTGGCTGAGAGCTCACTGGCCCTCGCACCAGCCTGCATGGAGGCATCGCTGCCCCCAGTGCCCGCAGGCCGGGGGGCGGGGCGGGGGGTGGTGGGAATGAGGGGCGGAGTGTTCCCTGTGGGCCCCACTGCTGAGCCTCTCCCTGGGTGCTGCCTGCCCTGGGGGCTCAGGCCTCAAAGGATTTGGTGATCCCCAGCCCCTCCTACTACCCCTGGGGGCTGAGCGGACTCCTTGGTGCCTCCCAGCCTTGGCCAGGAGGGCAGGCACAGCCTGGGAGGAGGGTAGTGTGTCGCAGGGCAGGGAAGGGCAAGCACCTGGCAAGGGACCAGCAGCCACAGGAAGGGGAGGGGAAGCAGGCAGAAGGTGCCACCCAGGGAGGCTTCCTGGAGGAGGCCCCCAAGTGTCTCCAGAAGCCTCTCCTAGTCTCTGGCTCACCACTTACTGTCCACCCCGTCACTAGGGTCAGAGAGCCTGGACCAAACTGGTCATCCCACCCTGGCCACCACTGCTCCAAACAAGGCCTTGGTCTTTTCTGGCTCTGACAGCAGTGACAGTCTCCTAACGGGCCATTGTCTGCAGGGAGTAAGGCATGAGCTGTGACAGGAGCTGGGTGCTACCACGGCAGGGCCACTGGTCCGCCTGCCCCAACACCGGGTGGGCCTCGAGGCTTTCAGGAGAGATGGAGAGCGAGGCCCCGAACCCTAGGCTCGGCCTACACAGTCAGGCCACCGTCCCCGAGCCCTGAGGAGGCAGCCCAAGCGAAGACACATCAGAATCTGACCTCAAAACACAGGGAGACGAGCTCAAGGAGAGTGGGGGGACTGTGCTTGGTGGGTGTGCCAGACAAAAACTGTCATCAAAAGCCATGGGTTAAAACTGTCTTTTGGCCCTTGCTTACATTTTCCCACCCTGAGTTTACTTTTTAAAATTCCCCCTTTTCTTGTATTTTTTTTGTTTCATTAAAAAAAACCCTTGAACCATCTGGAATGCACTTGGGCGTAGCTGGGGGCAGGACACGGGTTCTGTACACCTTCCTCCGGGAGAAGCCTGGGGTGGCCCCTCCGCCGGGCACAGAGCCAAGGCCGGGCCCTGCTGGGCTGCGCAGTCCTGGCCCCGGGGGCGGTGACTGGGGTGGCGCCAGGAGCCGGGAGAGACCAGGGTGACCAAGTCTCTACACCACCTCCCACTTGTTCCCTGAAAGCCGGCCGTGCAGGGGGTAAGGTGACCTCCAACAATCGGCCGAGACAGGTGCTCCACGCTGGGCCAGGTGGTGATGGACGGGGCCTGGGAAAATGAACCGGCTGGCTTCTCTCTGGCGGGCTGGGGCCCAGAGTGGGGTGGAGGACGGCTTCAGAGGATCGGGGCTTGTCCTCTCCCGTCATCTCCTTTAGTTATTCGTGTCATCTGATGACCAGGTCTCACCTAGCAGAGGCCAGATTCTAAGCCACCTCTGAGGGGTCTTGCCCACTTCTGAATTCCAGGTGAATGAATGAATGAATGAGCGAGCTCATTTGATCTTCACAAGACAGCTTAGAAAGCAGAAATGTTCTGATTGTACAAATGGCAGAACTAAAGCCCAGAGAGGTTCAGTGACTTGCCTGAGGTCACACAGCTGACTACAGAGCCTGCCTGAGGGTGGTGTCGCTGACGCTCCTCCCAGGTCTAACCCCAGAATCTGTACCATGACCAGGGGGGAAAAAATAAGGAGGGGACTTTATTTAATATTAAAGTTGGGGTGGGGACCGGAAGGGAGGTTGGCTTCACTTGGTGATGGTGTTCCTGCGGAGAGAAGAGGGCCATGAGGCTGGAGAGTGGGCCCAGGCCCTGCGCTCGCCCCTGCCCGCCCCTGCCCGCCTGCGCCACCCACTCACGCGTTCATGCTCTTGCCGCTGCCACTGAGCACGATGTACGGCGTCTTCTGGGCCTTTTGCTTCTCCTGGAGCAAAGCCACCGTGCCCAGGGGCGTGTCGCTGGAGCTCATCTTCTTCAGGAGCTGCAGAGCGGGGTCGGTCAGCACGGCGCAGGAGGGGCCCCAGCACATCAGCCACCCCAGTACGGGCAGAGGCCACCCCCCCATCCCCGCGGGCCACCCACCGCCTCCTCGTCCAGCTTCTTCATCCGCCGCTCCGTTTTCATCTTGCCCGAGCCCTTCCCGTGGAAGCGGTGGGACAGCTGCCGGAAAGCCTGGGGACAAAGGGCAGGAAGCCTGTTGGAGCCACTTGTGTCCCCAGGGTGGGGATTCAGTGCTGGCCTGGGGGGTGTGTAGGAAGGGGATGGGAGAAGGGCACCGACCCTGGCGCCCCCCCAGGGGCTCCCAGCAGAGTGGGGGAGATGGATGAGCTGCCATGGGGGTGCTGGGACCTGCGCTGAGACCTGCCGTGCGGAGGCCATGCCAGAACACTTGGGCTGGGGCTGCAGGGAGGAGGGCAGCAAACCCGGGGACGGTGGGGAAGGGCGCAGGTGGGGCGGGGCTGGGAGGGAGAGAGGGGGCGGGAGAGGCGCCGAGGGCCGCCAGGTGGAGCTGGGGCGTCTCAGAGCTCAGGAGTCAGCCCAGGGTCTGGACACTGCCCGCCAGATGGCGGCCCTCAGGCCAGGTCAAGCCACCGAGGGGGAAGGCAGGCAAAGGAGCCAGGGTGCCTGTCGGGGCCTCCCGCCAGGCCTGCAAGGGGGACTGCAGTGCCCACCAGAGACGGAAACCAAGCACAGAGGTTCTGACACTCCGCCAGGCCCCCAGCCAGCGGTCGGCGAGCCCAGACCCCGGGGCACCGCTCTGCCTCGGCGGCCGCCTCAGAGCCTCACCTCCTTGGGGGTGAGCTTCCGGCCCGTCTCGTCCACGTACTCGATCTTAACGTCGGGCTTGTAGCCGTCCTTCTCCTTGAAGTCCTGGGTGAAGCCACGGTACTCCTCCCGCCGGCTGTACTTGTCATCAATGGCCCTGGCCCGAGACAGGGGGTTCAGTGCCAGCTGCTGCCCACCCGGCCTGGCTCCCCGGCTGTCCCGAGCTGCCGCCGGCCCCGGCCCCCCGCCCGCCCTGCCATCCTCACATCTTGTCCTCGATGCAGTACACGGCGGACGGCAGCGACTTGTTGGGCGCCTTCACGCGCGCCACCTTCTGCACCGTCGTCTCCAGCAGCCCTGGGGAGAGGGGGCGGTCAGACTCCAGGCTGCCCACCCCCTCAGAGAGGGGCAGCCCCCGGGCAGGCCTGACGCCCCAGCGGGCCCCTCAGAGCCAGGCCGCAAGAGTAAAGGCCTTGGGGCCCATTTTGTAGACAGACACTGAAAACAAACAGTCAAAAAGAGAGACTCAGAAATCAGGCCCCTGTCAGCACGTACGTTTGGTGACGGATAAAAATGAGACTCCTGGGGTGAGCACGATGAAGCGCATTCAGAAACTGACAAACAATAACGTACACCCGAAATTACATAACGTTATAAACTGTTATGATCTCAATAAAATTACTTGGGGAAAAAAAGAAATCAGGCCCCTGTCAAGGGCCACTGGCCAAGCAAATGGCAGAGTGGAGCCCAATACCAGGGTCTCTCTGTGCCACAGCCAGGACTGCTCCAACTCCGCCCCTCCTCCCCAGAGGAGATGCCGAGCCTTGAAGGATGAAGGGTGCTCTGTAGGAGCTATGTGGGCAAAGCCATCAAAAACAGGGCACACAGAGCGGAAAGGCCAGCCGCTCCTTGACTGCTCTCGAACCAGGGTGCAGCAGGGGCGGCTCACAGGTCCTGGAGGAGTGGCTCACGGCACCAGGAATGAGAGAGTGGCAGCAAAGGGGACCAGAGGAAGCCATGCCAGCACCTGCCTCACCTGCCATCGCCCACCAGCCCTTCCCACCACAGCCCCCGGGCCCCACCGGGCTCACGGCCGCCCAAGCCCCTCACCTTTGTTCTGACACAGCAGCAGGGCGGCTGCCAGCCCTCTGTTCACAATGGGCTCCTCGTCCAGGATTGTGGTGGAGGAGGCCGAGAACTGGGGGGCAGCACACGGGGAGGGAGGTGATGAGTGGCCCCCCGGGCTTACCCACCAGTCAGCACCCACCACACAAGACTGTGTCCACCCCGTGCACAGGCCTGGGCAACCAGCTGCCACCTCTAATCTCCACGACAACCCTGAGGCTGACAGAGCCCATGAACGGCAGAGGGGACCGGGGCTCTGGGACACTGAGGAGCCACAGCTAGCCCCACCCCAGCGGACTGTGTGCCCTCTGCGCTCGCTCTGCCCGCCCACAGCCCCGCGCCCCTCACATCCTGCTGCTGCTTCTCCTCATCCAGGTTGACTGTGCTCCAGCCAATGTTCTCCTCCCCGTCCGACTCAGAGCCGCCGTTGGCCGAGCGCTCCTCATCCCGTTCAAAGTCCTGGGGGACAGAAGACCAGAGTCGGCCCGGGTGGCCTGGCCCACAGCCCGCCCGCTCCATCCGAGCACTGAGGCTGGTCCCTGAGGACCAGGGGCTGACATCACCACCCACAAGGGCCCCCAGCCAGGAGCAGAGCAGGCCGGGGGGCGGGGTGGGGAGGGGCAGCTGTCTGGGGACCCACCATGAGCTCCTCCTGCTCCTCCCGGTTGCCGGCCAGCCCGTAGGTGGGGATCTCCCCGAGAGTGCGGCAGAACTCCGACGTGGCGTTGAACACGATGGCCCCCTTCCGCTCCGGATCCTCATCCTCCTCCCAGCCCCGCTGGCGCGACTCCAGCTTCTTCACAATCTCCACCACCTGGGGGAGGGAGTGGCTGTGGGCAAACCCAGACATTTCTGGGGTGGTGCCATTGAGACCAGGAACCCAAGATCCTCCCTGGTGGCAGTAAGACAAGCCCTTCCCCCTGCCCACAGTGGACCTCAGACTGGTCTCCACTTCCTCCCTGACCCCTAGTCCGCTCTCCACTCTACACATGCACCAGTTTCACTCTGTCACTCCTCTGCCCCCAAAGCCGTCAATGGCTCCCTACTGCCCTTTGAATATCCAAAATTTTACCCAGCCCTTCAGGACCAGGCCTGTACCGACCCTTCTCCAAAGCCCCTCAACTTGCCACCTCAGCCTCACATGCCCTCCTCAGGACCTGGAACACGCCAGGCCTCCCTTGCCACTCCTCTGCCACCCGCTCTTCCCCCAACAAACTCCTGTTTCAGGACTCGGTGTAAACACTGCTTGTTCCAGAACCCGTTCCCTGAGGCCCCAGATGTGATGCCCCGTGGACCTTCCACATGCTTCCAGCACGGAATCCACCCCCACCCCCACCCTCTGCCTTCCCTCCTGTCACAGCAGAAGCCCGGCCCTGCTCCTACCTCAGGCCACCCTCCACCTGACACGGCTCTGAGGCCCCTCAAAACCCTGTTCCTGACATTGTCCCCCTGACTGCACCCACTGTCGCCTCTATTGCGTCATTCCCATCAGCACACAAGAACTACCTAGGACCTCCCTTTTCAAAAATCCTCCTTCAACCCCAGCAGCCCCACTACTCTTCCCCCTAACAGCAAACTCCTCAGAGAAGTTTCTAGTCAGCATGTCCATTTCTGTACCCCCTTTCCTTCCATTTTATTACATTTATCTTTTAATGAATGTCATCATAAACCTAAAAGGGTTCTGACACATGCATTATGTTTTTTAAAAATAATAATAATCAAACGTCCCTATACCCATCACCCAGCAGAGAAACAACATCATTAACGCCCTGTTTCCTCCCCCATATTTGTGGTCACGATTCACCAGCTCGTCTTTATAGCTTTACCACATAAGGACCTACCCACAAACACTATGCTATTTCACTGTGCATTTTTTAAACATCATGTAATTTGAATCATACTGTATGATTTTTCTGTGATTTGCTGTTTAAAAATATATATATATTTTTGGGGCCAGAATAGCGGTTAAGTTCGTGCCCTCCACTTCAGCAGCCCAGGTTCACAGGTTTGGATCCCAGGCATGGATGTTCGCTAGTCGGCAGCCAAGCTGTGGCGGTGACCCACATACAAAGTAGGGAAGACTGGCACAGATATTAGCTCGGGGCTAATCTTCCTCAAGCAAAAAAAAATATACATACGTCTATTTTTTCAAGATTAATCTTGACATGAGTGGCTACAGTTGATAGCTTTTCACTACAGAATCATACTCCACAATATGAATGTACCTCAGTCTAGGCGTCTGGTGCACCAAGGACAGACTTTTTCTGTTGTCGCAGATAAGGCAGCTACAAGCAATCTGATGCCTAGTTCCTGGTGCAATGTGGGCAAGTGTTTCTCCGGGAACACACTGTGGAGTGGGGACCGTGGGGCCACAGGGCACTCATACTTCACTCTTTGAGAATATGTCAATGTCCTCCCAATCTGCTTAGACTCACACGCCCATGAAAAGGGTGTGTAAGATTCCGGCTGCTCCCCATCCTCACTGACACTTGACAGTGTCAGACTTTGACATTTTTGCCAAATGGTGTGGGTGTGACACGGCCCATCATTGTTTAGCTCACCTTCCCTTGATCACTAATGAAGCCGAACCTCATTGGTTATTTTATTGGCTACTTATCCTTCCACTTCTGTGCAGTGCCTCCTAGGGTCTTTTGCCTATGTCTGTTTTAAGTCAACTTTTGTTCTTTATATATTCTTGACACCAACCTAGTGATGGTTATGTGTACGGGCAAATATCTTCTCTTTCTGGCCTGTCCTTTTTATATTCTTCATGCTATCTTTTTGAAAAAAACTTTAGTTCCTAATTTCTAAGTAGTTAAATGTTAGTTTTTTCCTTCATGCTTTTTTACATTTATATCTTCAGAAATCTTTCTCTGCCACAAAGTCATACGCATAATTTCCTTGATTTTGTTCTGAAATGTTTTTTACTTTGAGTCTTTATCGGTAAGTGAATTTTGTGTGAGGAGTGAGGCACAAACCCAATTTCACCTTTTTTTAAATAGCAAACTGACTGTGTCACTTCGCCCTCTTAGTCCATCCGTATGCCAATCCCACACCGCCTTAATCACTATAACTGTAGAAGGAGCCCTGATATCTTAGAGCAAATCTCACCACCTTATGGTTCAACACTGTCTTGGCTATTGGGGGCCCTTTGATCTTCTATGTAAATTTTAGAATCAGCTTGCGAGGTTCCGCAAAAATACCTATTGGGATTTTTACTGGAATTGCATTTAATCTATAAATTAACTTGAGGAGACCGACATCTTTATAATATTGAGTCCTATCCATGAACATGGTTGTTATGGACTGAACTGTTGTCTTCTCAAAATTCACATGTTGAGGCCCGACCTCTGTGACTGCCTTTGGAGACAAGTCTTTGAAGAGATAATTAAGGTCACATGAGGTCATAAGAGTGGGCCCCAATCCAACAGGTTGGTGTCCTTATGAGGAAGGAGGGAGACACCAGGATGCAGGCACACAGAGAAAAGGCCATGTGAGGACACAGCGACAAGGCCATCATCTTCACACCAAGGAGAGGCCTCGAGAGAAAGCAAACCTGCCAATGCCTCAATCTTGGACTTCCAGCATCCAGAAGTGTGAGAAAGAAGTTTCTGTTGTTTAAACCATGCAGTGGGAGGTACCTGTTATGGCAACCCCAGCCAACTGAAACAGTCTATCAATTTAATTACGTCTTCTTAATGTCTTTCAAAAATGGACTGTAATTTTTCCCATACAGACCTGGCACATCATTTATTCCTTTTAATTGTGTTGCTATCCTGATCCTTATCCATATTGCCTTCTACTGCTTAGCCACACCATCTCATTATCTACATTGTTTTCATAAATGGTGTATTTTTTAAAATTACATTTTCTATCTCTTGCTGATACACAGAAAGACAACTGACTTTCATTTATTAATCTTGTATCCAGCCACCTTGCTAAACCAGTGGGATCTGGCCTTCATTGCCCATTGCCCCAAAGAGGTGACTTTAGACAAGGCCGTCAATGACCTCCACGTTGCCCAATCCAAAGGTCAATTGTCAACCTCCTGATACGTCCACGTTCTCCACAGGGTTTGTCACAGTTGCTCATACCCTTCCCCTGAAGGTCCTTTCTTCACGTGGCTTCCAAGACGACACCCTTTCCTCTTTTCCTTCCTCACTCGCTCTCCTTCTCAGGCTCCTCTCTTGGAGCCCTGCACTCTCTTCTTTATCTACACTCGCTCTCTTGGTGACTCCATCTGATCCTTCGGCTTGAACTCCTGTCTACATACTGACTTCCACGTTTGTATATCCAGTCTCAGCCTCTCCCCTGAAGTTCAAATTCACATGTCCAACTGCCTAGTCAACATCAATCACCTCTAATAAAGAGGTGTCTCAAACTTAACCAAAACCAAACACTTGGTTTTCTTCCCCAAACCTGTTCTTCCCCTAGTCTTTCTCATCTCAGTAAATGGCCCTACCATTGGCGGGCTGTTCACGTCAGAATTCTTGGGAACCATCCTCAACCTCTTATTCACTCGCATCCCTCATGCAGTCCATCAGCAAACACTGCTGATCCTACCCCTGAAATACATTCCCAAGACAACCACTTCTTCCTGTCCCCACGGCCGCCACCCTAGCAGACCTCACCTCTTGGCCGGATGACTGCATCCGCCTTCTAACTCCTCTCTTCCTCCCACCAGGAATCTGTTTGTCCTCTTTACAAGCAGCCAGAATGATCTTTGAAAACAAAGAACTCAGATCAAAGTCCTCTAATGGCTGCATCTTCACTGCAACAGTCAGGCTCTGCCTGATGTGGCCTCTGACGCTGTCCTGCGTGTCCTTGCCTATCACTCCTCCCCCTGCCCTCTCTGCGCTGGCCTCAGTGAAGTGCCTGAGCAAGCTCAGTCGCTCCTGCCTCAGGGGCCTGGGTACCAGGTGCTCTCTCACCTCCTCACCTCACCCCCTTTCACTAAGAATTTCAGCACCAGCTTCCTGTCTTCCTCTGCATTTCTATTCTCGTCTTTACTCTTTGTGACCTCCGCATCCAAAACGATGCCTCCAGTAACTGCCCCAGAGGTTCCTTGATGTCCTCACCTCTGATGATCATTTTCTCAACCCCTCCTTAGTCACTCCCTCCAGGGGTCCACACTCTCCTGCCTGGATTTATCATCACCAATGACCATATCCCCACCTTCAAAATCTCAACTCCAAGTGTTCTCTCTGTCTGCAACATCCGCCCTTTCCAGCTCACTTCCTCTATAACCCTCAGTCCAGAAATTCTTCAACCTCATCAAGACTCTAGTCCCCATCTTCACATCCATCACTCTCCTCCTGTTCTGTCCCTTATCATCCAGCCTGGATCCTACGGAGCATCAATACAATCCCTCCTTTGCAAATACTTTAACTGCCCTGCCCTCTTTCCCTGGAAAACCCAATCTTGATTAATCCCAGATGTCACCTACTCAGCTGACCATACTGAGCAGATGAATGGGCTAAAGAAATTCATAAAGGTTCTGGTCAGATCCACTTTAAATTCATGAGAGCTTATTGCAAATGAGGAGTCCCAACTAACCTCCCTGAGCAGTCCACGTGGCCCGGCAGACCTCCTCCCCTCCCGTGGGTGCCTCATCTCCACTCTTCAAAACAAAGTCCCACCTCTCCACCCCCACACCTCTGCCACCTCCTCATTGAAGAACAAAGAAGCAATCAGACAGGAGGTCCCTTGACTTCCTCCACCCAGTTACCTGCATCTGCTGTCTCCTCCCTCGCCTTCCCTCCTGAAATGAATGACACGACCTGGCTTCTCTCAAAGGCCACCCCTCCCTTGTACTCTATGTCCCATCCCTGCCTTGCCTCTTAAGGATTTGCTCCTGAAAATATCTCCTCCTTTCTGCTCTTCCATCATGAATACCTTTCCTGGATCGGCATCAAACATACTCTAGAATCTCTATCACTTACAAAAACTCCTTTGAGGGTGTGAGATGCCTGCAGAAGTACTTAGAGGTGAAAAGTCACAATGTCTGCAACTTACTTCCAGTGGATGAAAAAAACAAAGAGGAAGAGAAGACAAAAAGCACTGTGACAAAAGGTTTATAATTACTGGATCTGACAGGAGGCATAAAAGCATTCATTGGAATATTCTCCCAACTTTTCTGCATGTAAATGATGTGGGATATGGCTCAGATATGTTTAAAAACCTTCCTGGGGCTGGCCTGGTGGTGTAGTGGTTAAGTTTGCAGGCTCTGCTTCAGGAGCCTGGAGTTCATGGGTTTGGATCCTGGGCGCAGACCTGCACACTACTTATCAAGCTATGCTGTGGCAGTGTCCCACATACAAAACAGAGGAAGACTGACACAGACGTTAGCTCAGCGACAATCTTCCCCACCAAAAAAAACACAACAAACGAGAAAACTTCTTTGGTGATACTAATGCACGGCCAGGCTGAGAACCACTGGGCTACATAACCTCTACAACCCTCTCAGCCATAAACTCCATGATTCTTGGATGTAGTTTTTAAATATTAATGCTATTAATCATTAAGTATAAGAAAGGAAAACTTCCTTCAACTCACACCCCCTTCAGCTATTGCCCCATTTCTCTGATCCTCTTTATAGAGCACGTGTGTGCAAATCATGGCCCACCACCTGTTCTTGGAAATAAAGTTTTACTGGAACACAGCCATGCCCGTTCACTTACGCGTTGTCTGTGACGGCTTTCAGTACACTGGCAGAGCACCTGAGTAGTTGTGACTTGGACCACAAACCCTTAAACCTCGAATATTTACTATCTGGGCCCTTTAACAAAAAGTTTGCACACTCCTGCTCTGAGGAATTGTCCCAAGCTGCTGCCCGCACTTCCTCAACTCCCATCTCTTCAATCGTCTTGAAGCCCCTGGAACTGCCTCCACTGTGCCAAATTTGACCTGCCTCTCAGTAGTGTCAGAAGACCCCGACTCCCCTTCTTGAAGCCATTCTTGGCTTCAGAGATGCCTCACTCCTGTGGCTTTCCTCCTACCTCAGGGGTGGGCTGCTGCTTCTCCGACTCCCCTGCCGGAGCCCCTGCCTCTACTCTGCCCCACATGGTGGGCACCCTGCGGTTCACTGCTCCAGCTCCATTCCCTCCCTAGGTGGGAGGTGCAGGGTTAAAAGCGTGGACTCTGGAGTCAAGCTGTTCGAGTCCCAGCTCTGCCATTTATCAGACATGTAACCTTGGGCAACGTGCCTAATACCTCTGTGCCTCAGTTTCCTCATCTGTAAAATGGAGATAACAGAGCCTTCCTCATAGGTGTTGCTGGGAGGATTAAGTGAATCAACACACAAAGCACGTCAGCAGCGCCGGGCACACCTGAGTGCCCCACGTGGGTCAGCGACAACCCCACTGACCTCTCCACTGCAGCTCACACCACCATGCCCTCACTCCGCTCCAGCCTACCCAGTCCTCAAGCATTCTAAGGTCATTTCCCCAAAGGACATCTGCTGTCCCCACAGCCGCCACTCTACTCAGTCCGTCCGCCCTACCCCCAGATCTCTGCAAGGCTGGCTCCTTTGTTATTTAAGTCTCAACACGAAAGTCACCCCTTGAAAGGTCAGCCCTGAACACCCAGTCTGGGACACAACCCTCCACTTACTCTCTCGTCATCCTGGTCTGTCTGCCCAGCTCTAATCACCATCCAAAATTACCCTGTTTGCTCACGTGTTCACAGTTCACTGCTGTTCCCCACCCCTCCTCCAGAAAGGCAGCTCCACAAGCACAGGGCCGCTTGGCTGACCTATTCACAGTGACCCCCCAGCCCTAGGATAATGCCCTATTCACAGGAAGCAGGCGACAGACATACACAGAAAGGAAAAAGGGAGAGAGCCAGCTTACATGAAAACACTGCAGAAATCTAGAAATCTACTAAGAACATGGTATCAAGCAAAAGAGAAAATCCAAATCGGAACGCAGGTGCTGCATCCAATGGCACACTGACACACGTGCTCATAAGGACAGGTCCCCACAGACACCCCTGTCACCGAAGGCCCCAGCCCTGCGGAGGCCAGCGCCCACCTGCGCCCAGCCTCCAGAGCGCTCACCTTCTCCCCGCTGTCTCGCAGCTGCTGTAGCTGCTGCAGCTGCCGCAGCCGGCGCCCCTTCTCTAGCTGCTTCTGCAGCTCCAGCTCCGCCTCATCCTCCTCCAGCACCTCTGGGGACCCAGATCGCGGTGCTCCGGCCTCCTCTGTGGGAAACACACAGGATGCCTGCTCAGGTCATCTCCTTGGACCCTGGGCACTTTCCCTGCCTTTTCTGCCCACCCCCAGGGGCCGGGCCCCTCACCCTCATCACTGATGTCCATGTTCTCCACTCGGGTGTCATCTGACTGCGGGGGCTGAGGCACAGGCTCCTTCTCCTCCTCTTCCGGGGCCTCCTCGTCTGCCTCGGGCACTCGGCGCCGACCCCGGCCCCGCAGTCTGCAGGAAGAGGCCTCGCCAGTGAGCATCGGCCGCTCGGCCAGCCCAGCCCCCACATCCCACGTGTGCCCAAGCCCACCTGGAACCGAAGTCCCCATCTTGACTCTGGTCCCCAAGAGGCAGCAAGTCGTCAGCCCGCACAACCACCTCCTTCTCCTTCTTGCGGATCTTCTTCACCCTCCGCTTGGTCTTTCTAAAGGTCACCTGAAGGCAGGAGAGGAGAGAAGGGATCAGGAGGGCAGGAGGGGAAGGGCAGCCACAAGCCCATGAGAATGAACGACTCTCTAGCGTTATTCTGTGCCAGCCATTGTCCTGAGCACGTCACATACACGAACAAGACGTGAGGCACGTCGACTGTCATCCCACCTGTGAGATGAGGAAAACTGAGGCACAGAGAGGTTAAGTACCTTGTCCAAGGTCACTCAGCTCCTAAGTGGGAGAGCGGGGATTGTGAATCTTGGTCGCCTGGCTCCAGAGTCCTGCTCTTAGCCACTTAGCCTACCAATCCACTGAGCCAGCTGTCTACCTCTGCGTTGACACAGTCATCTCAAATACAAGATCCACATCGAGCTATAAAATGACCACTCACCCACATTACTGCTAATCCTCGTAACAGCCCTCAAGAGGCTGCCATCCCCATTTCAGATGGGGTGCCTCAGGCTCATAGTTGAATGACTCACCCAAGGTACAAGCTGGCTACGTGGCAGAGGCATTTTCAGGACCATCTGGCTCACAGTCCCTGTTCTGTCTACACCCACTGCCTCCCCATAGCACCTCCCAGGATTGCCGTTTACTGCTCATCAACACGGGCCAAGCACCACAGGAACACTCAAATTCTCTCCATAGCTCATTCCGACAGTACGAGACCCGAGGGGAAGGACTCACTACCCCAGATACAAGCACAGGTGGAGGCCAGGGGGCTCACCATCTCCTCGGGCGTGAGGTACTCGGAGGCAAGTCGGGGTCCCACCGTGCTCAGGGACTGGGCCTGCAGCCGCAGCTTGGCCCGGATCTCCTCCAGCTCCCGTTCCCGGAGGCCATCGGCCGTGCCACCCTGGTCCAGACGGAAGGACTGTGGCCGCTCGCCCTCGAGCTCCTCGTCGTACTTGGACAATATAGAGCGGGGTTTTTGCTACAAGGCAAAAAGTACAGATTGGGACCCAGCCTGGCTCCTGCAAAGCCAGAGCCAGCATCTCGTGAGAGCCCCGCTGCTGCCCGCCTGCCTGTGCCAAGTCGTCCACGCTCTCGTCCTCTGCGTAGGGCAGGTAGTCGGGCTTCTTCTTCCGCAGCTCCACGTTTTTCTCTGCCCGCTCCTTATCCACCAGGTTCACATTCACCAGCACATCCTCCTCCTCCTGCAGCACGCCTGCGGACAGGGCAGGGGCGGCGGCCATTCGCGCTTGCCCTCAACTCAGCAGGGCCGTGGCCCCAACGAGAGCACCCCAGCTCCACTCACCTTTGTCCTTGAGGGTGAGGATCAAAGTCTCTCCTTCTCGGAAGGAATCGATGGCGTGCTCCACGGTGAGGCCCTGCAGGTCCCGGGCGCTGTACAGGTCCTAGAAGGGAGGGGAAGGTCTAGCTGAGTCCAGAGCCCCCACCCCCCAGCACGGACGACAGCAGTGCCCCGCCAGCTGCCACAGCAGCCTCACCTGTCGCCTCTGCCCGAACTCCTCCTCCACCAGAGTGCTCACGCCGAACTCTTGGTCCATCTCCTCCAGCAGCTTGGCCTAGAGGATGGGCACGGGGGCGGTGACCTATGACCTCAGGCCATTCAGGATCACCAGAAGACACGCAGACCTTTACCAAGCAGGAGTGCAAAAAGAGCAGGCTTTGCAGGCAAGCCACTGAGAGTCCACAGCAGACGCCGCCGACCACAGACCTCCTGCCTCTGCACCCAGCCTCACCTCCCAAGGGCCAGTCTCCTGCCTCAGCAGCCGCTCAGACCACCCGAGGCACAGAGCAACCACCCCAGCCACCCAGGTCCTCACTCTCTTCTCTGCCAAGTCCTTCTCCTTCTGAAGCTGCCGGCTCCTCTCAATCCAGGCTGCAGTGTCATCCAGCCAGGGGTCATCCTCGCCCAGTGTCTTTATCTTCCTGAAGAGGGGAGAAAGTGACCCTCTGGGAGCCCAGCTTCTGCTCCCTCACCGTAACTCAAGAGCTCCCTGGTGGCCTCCTCAGGCCCTTCCCCTGCCCGCCCTGGCTGGGACCCCCTCACCCCAGCTTTTGGTTCAGGAGGCGCTTTTCTTTGGCAGCCGCCAGCTTCTCTCGTAGCTCCTCTCGCTGTCGCAAAGCCATAGGGTTGATGACCTCGGCTGCCACGGGCTCCTCCTTGGTGCCCGCCTCTGGAAGGGGGGCCCAGACGTGAGGCTATGCCTGCCCATGGCTGGTGGGGAGAGGAGGGAGGCACTCACCCTGCCCCCTTCCAGCTCAGGGGGCCAGAAGGGGCCAGGAGATGGGGGAGGAACCCTGCACCTCCCTACTCCCACTTCATCCCCACACGGTGACTCCTGTGTCACCCCACACGGCATGACAAGACCCTCCATATCTTCCAAAGCCCCTCATATCATGTGTAAGATGTGTAAAAGAAATCCTCAGCTACACAGCCCAGATCAGTTTACAGCAACTGCACACATCCCTTAGTCCACCTAATGCTGCCTCACAGCCAGAGTGAGGATGCTGCGTCAACTATTCAAACTCACAGGATAAGCTGAGCCCCAGATCCCCATTACAACAGCAAAGAGGGGCCTCACGCCTGTCAGCAAGTACACACGCACACCCCCATGACCACTAACTGGGGCTGAACCTGTACTCTAACCCCACTTTCTTCAAAGATCCCTTCAGATGGCCTTTTTCTGCCCCTGCCAATGCCCTCCCTTACTCCCATCCTCAGCCCCACACTCACCCTTCTTGACGGCATTGACCTCCAACGGTTTCAACCCCAACTTGGCCCGGAGTTTACTGAAGACGAGAGTACAAGTGTTAGAAGCTTTCAAAGAAATGGGGGCACCCAACGCATTTCTGGACAGACAGGGTGAAAACAGGATGGAAGTAGGTGGTCCTAAGGGTCCCACACACAGGGCCTGACCTAGGCAGCCTAGGGCCAGCGGCCTCCAAATCAGGGAACATGGGCACTAGGCCTGGCCTGCCCCTAACCAGTAGAATGCCATCATTCCTCTTGGGATTAGTGTCCTCTTCCATAACTCAAATGGTCAGCTAAGATGATTTCTATGGCACTTCCAATTCCAACCAGAACGATTAGTGTGCGACAGCTTCCCCGAGCAGGTGCCCCTGGAGCCACTTGTCTCGGAAAAAAAGAGCAGAAACATACAGGAGACAGTGCTTACTTGGTCTCCTCGATGCTGAGAGACGAGGCATCTCCTGAGCTAGTTTTGGAGCTGGCAGCTGGAACGACAAGAAGCACGGCTCAGGAGCTGAACACAGGGCCCAGAAGCCACATCCTCGGCTCCAGCTGCAGGGCCAAAGCTGAGGGCCCCTCACCAGCACGTGAGCCTTGTTGAGACTCCAGAAAACAGCAGCCTTTTTCCACCCCAGGAAGTCCTTCCGGCTCCCAGTTTCTGAGAACCCTGCCTTTTCTACACACCTTCCTTTGCTGACCCAAAACATCCAACTTTCTGCATCTCTCACTTTGCCACCTCTCCACTTTCGTATATTCTGTGTCCACCCTGCACTGTCCTCCCTGGCCTCACTCTGGCTGACAAACCCTATCCAAACGCAAAGATCGAATGCCCCCTCCTTCATAAGGTCCTGCTGAACTACTGATCAGAATGAACTGCTCTCCCCTGAACTCCACAGCATGATCAGTGGCTTATGGGCCTGTTTCTCTCCACGGCGCAGGGACCAGGCTGGTAGCATGACTGTGTCCTCCGTGCAATTCACACAGTCAAGAAACACTTGCTGGTGCCTGCTCTGTGCTGGATGTTGGGGACACAGAGATAAAAAAACACTTTGGAGCTTCTCCACCCAGCTCACAAACAGCAAGAAACTTCACTTAACACCACAGACAGAAGCTAGACACCCACAGAGGAGCTCCCCAACCAACTGCCACCACATGCTCATCCTTCCTGCATCCCCTCCCGACAACCCACCTCCTCCCCTTCTATTCCACCTGGACCCTGGATCCCAAGCCCTCCAGGCTCTCTCCAAAGTCATCACCCTCCTAATTTCTAAATCCAATGGATTCTTTTCACCTCTGGTTTTGCTTCATCTCCTGCGGTGTCTGACACTGCTCATCACTCACTTCTAACAATGCTCCGTTCCCACAGATCTCGTGACACCAGATCCTATGGCTTTCCCACCTTTTTGGTTATCCTACCTCCCTATTTTGTAGTACCTTGCTCCACCTACTGCTAAAACACGGCATTTCACAGGTTCTACTTCTGACCTGGCTTCTCGTTCCTCACTCTCTAAGGCAACTTCATTTGCCGGCTAAATACTCGTGACTCCCAAATTGCTCTATCCAGCCCAAACCCTGGGTTTCTCCATGCACATCAAACACAACACTCTCCAAAACTGAATTCATTACCTTCCCCCAAAAAGTCTGCTTCTCTCCCAAACCCAATTTTAGTAAATGACACCACCACCCACTTAGTTGCTCACGCCAAAATGCAAGGAGCTATCCTCGACTCCTTCTCCTTGCCACCCTCATCCAAGTATGTTAATTCCTCCTCCAAAACACATCTTCAATCTGTCTGCGTCTCTCCCTCCCACTGCAGCTGCCTTGGTGCAGGCCACCATCAGCCCTCACCCGGCCTCCAGTCTTGTCTACCCTTGATCCAGATCTCAATGCAGTGATCTTTGAAAAATATGATTAACTCACTCTTCAACTCAAATCCATGGCTCTCTACTACCCTCGGGACAAAGTTCAAATTTCTGAACAGGGCCTCCAGGGCCCTTCGTGTTCCGACCCCAGCCGATGTTACAGCCTCCTGTCTCTATTGTGAACTCTACACGATTTGCCCAATACCAGGTTTTCTCTTGCCTATGCACAGGCTGGTACCACTTCATTCATTCAATCAACACATTTATTGAGGGCCTGTGATGTGCCAACTGAGGAAAACAGAAAATCTCTGTCCCCACAAAGCTTAGTAGAGGAAGACAATCTTTAATCCCAAACAACCATAAGAAGACCCTTCAATAAGCGCTGACGAAGAGAGCCTGGGGTGGCTGGGCCAGCCCACCCGCGCCCCCCGCCCCCGCGCAGGCCCCGCCCCTCACCGGCCTCGTAGCCGTCATCGCGCTTCTCCCGCTTCACGCGCCTCTCGGAAGGCTCGGCCTGGCTGCGCTCCCGCCCGTGCGCGCCGCTGCGGGCCTCGGCTTCGGCCCCGCGCCGCCCGCCCCCGCGCTCGCCCCCACGCTCCCGGCTCCGCTTCCGTCGCTCGCCGCCGCTGCTGCCGCCGCCGCCGCCGCCGCTCCGGTGCTTGTGTTTTTTGTGCTCCCGGTGCCGCGGCGGCTGCTCGGTGGCGCCCCCGGTGCTGGCCGCCGCCGTCGTCCCGGTCGCCTCCTTCTCCCCGCGATGCTTCTTTGACGACCCCATGGTGGTACGTCCGCCCCGAGCCCGGCCGCCGCCGAGCCCCGACGACGCAAAATGGGAACACTTCCGGGTCGCCCGGCAGCCGCTGTCGTGTTGCCGGAAACCAAGAGCGGCTGCTTCCGTTGTTCGCCTTGGGGTCCGCCCCAAAGGCTCATGGGATGGCCGGGATCGGAACCTACTGCGCATTCGCGGCTGGCTTGGGCTAGGGGGCGGTCCTAGAGCTAGTGGTCTGACGGCGCATGCGTTCTTAAAGGTTCGCGGACGCGGTCTGGGGGAGACTGGATCCCAAACATGTAAGGACCTGGAGGTCGTCTCAGCCAGCGTCCCCGGAACTGGAAGCCCTTCCCTGGCCTCCCTCAGAGACTTTCCGTGGACAGAGTCTGCCGCTCCAGGAGGCGTCCTCCTAGTGGATTCCCTGGGGTCGTGGCTCCATCCTGTGTTGGACGACGTAGCCTGTTCTCCTGAGACCCGGAGCTCCACAGCCCGGTCTCCGAGCCCCTACAACCAGTATTGTCAGCAAACGCCTGCCTTCCCACGTTCCCTCGACTGGGTCTTACCTGTGCCCTGTGAACTGCTGAGGAGCTGCATATGAGCTTGTGTGTCTGTGAACCCCTTGAAATCGAGTGCAAAATTTGGCACATCTGTGTGTGTGTGTTTGTTTCTTGAGAGGGGCTCTAACTTGAAGTTACTTAACATTAAAAGCCCAGTTCACACAGTGCCTCCTGACACCACCCCCCCCCACAGTTGCTAGATCTGGCGGCCCCTGTGCAGTCCATCTGTTATGGTGTGATGTCTGTGCCCCTTTAAAGGTCTGCCTCCCACCCCCACCAGATTGGAAGTCGTCAAAGGCAGAGGCCATTCTGTCCTACTCGTTCTCGAATTTCTGGGACCCAACATATGTGCTGGGGACTAGGGGTGGAGGCGTCCCAGCTGTTGCTCTCTGAGATGTCCCACCCCTCAGGAGTGTCTGCTGGGTGGGGGCAGCCAGAACAGCCGGAGCTCCTGGGGGATGTGGGAACAAGCTAAGTGAGCTGCCTGCCCACCTGCCACCTCCTCCTCCCAACGCGCAGCCTCTTCTCACTACGACCAGAAATCCCACACTATATTTTCCATAAAACATTTAATTTTTATCTCAGGGACTGGACTCCTGGTCTGGGCTTGGGATGGAGTGCCTGTCAGGCTGGCTGCCCGTGGGTTCTGTCCTTGGGGAGCTCTGAGAAGAGTGCTCCATTCTCATCCCTGTTGACCTGTGGCTCCTTAAAGACGAAGACACAGATAGAGGCCACTGGGCCCTGCAGCTCCCCACCCTCATGCCCAAGGTGACCTGGGCTGTAGGAGGGGAAAGGCTGTTGTCACTGATGATGCGGGTTCAAATCTGGCTCCTCTGCTGTGTGGCCCTGAGCCAGTGACTTCCCCTCCTTGAGCCTCAGTTTGCTTATTGTGATTGGGCTTCATAATCCCTGCTCTGCCCCCAGGTTGTTCTAAAGAATAAGGGACAGTATACCTGAGGTGACTGGCGTGGGTACCAGCCCATAATTGGGGCTTGGTGTGTGGCCACTCGGATGGCCATGGATTCCCAGACTGGCTCTGTTGCTTATTTGCTTCTGTAACCCTGGGCAAGACCCTGCCCCTTAGGCCCCTAGCTTCCTCATTGGGAAGTAGGGGAAATAACCCTGGCCCTGCCTTCCTCAGGTGACATGCAGAACAGGGCCTGGGGAAGGCCCTGCTGACAGCTAGAGCTAGTCCCCCACGCCCGGGGGGTGGCGGGGGCAGGACCGAAGTGTAGATGGAGGGTGGATCAATGTGGCTGCCCACGGAGTCCCGCCTCCTTTGCCCAGGGCAGGGACACAGTTGGGGGAGACTGCAGAGCTCGGAGGGCTGGTGATGTGCCCCTTCTCCCTGCAGCTGGGCAGGGCCGGTTCCTTGGTCTGCTAGACGGCCTCACCTGGGCTTCCTGGAGGTGCCCTCCATGTCCCCCTTTCCTGCCTCCGCCAGCAGCTGCTCCTCATCTACTCCCAGTGCCGACAGCACCTGGGAGAAGCGCCGGGTCACGCTGAGCCGGGCGTTGACCTGAGAAGAGAGAGGAGGGGTTCCCGCTCTGCACCAGGGCTGCCGGGGACACCGTGGGGCTCTGATTACTGAGGGGGTCCCAGGGTTTCCAGATGGGCAGCAGCCAGGGGTCCCATCTAAGAGGGCCCACTCCCACCTCGCTTCCCTACCCACTCAGCCAGGGTGGAGCCCTGTTCTCAGGGAGGCCACCTGCCTGCCCAGGTGCCGGCCCTCACCTGCATGGCCTGCTGGAACAGGTAGGGCCGGGCCTGCACCCTGTGCTGGATATCCTGCAACTCGGCCTGGTACTCAACAAAGCGCTGTCGCTGCTGGCGCCTGTGGGGAGACGGGCCTCTGGGCAGCGAACCGTGGACACAGCCATCCCCACTCCTGAGCCCACGCAGCCTCACTAAGGATTTGATGTTTCTGTCTTTCTGCCCTGGCCTATGCAAAGCCATTTCATTCCCATCCTCGCCCTGGATTCCTCCTGAGGTCAGTGGGGTGGGAATTATTTGCCCCATTTTACCCAGGATGTGCCTGAGGCTCAGAAGAGTTGAGGGACCTGTCCAAGGTTGCACAGCTGGGAAGTGAAGGACTAAGCTCTGAGCCCAGTCTGTAGGCCGTGCAGCCAGGGCTCCCCCAGCTTCCTGGCCACCCCCAAGGGAGAGGGGCCAGCACTGGTTTCTGAGCAACTGTGCATCTGCTTGCAAGTCTCCCCTCTCCTGGTGTCCACACCCCTGCACCCTCTCACAGTGCACCTGTGAGGGGGAAGCTGAGGCCATGGGCAAGGCCCCACTCTGGGCTCTGGGCTCAGTTTTCTTCTCTGTGCCACAGCACGGATTGGGCAAGCTTGTCAGCATCCTCTATGGTTCTGGTAAACAGATAGCTTAGAAAATGGGACAGAAGAACCAAAGAAATGTGTTGCAAATGAAAGAACACATCCCAAAAAGATCAGGGGTCCACTGAGGAAGCACAAATCCATTTACAAAAGCCCAATTTGTCTGGCTGGTCCCGTGGCCAAGTGGTTAAGTTCGCATGCTCTGCTTCCACGGCCCAGGGTTTTGCCGATTCGGATCCTGGGTGCGGACATGGCACCGCTCATCAAGCCACGCTGAGGTGGCATCCCACACAGCACAACCAGAAGGACCTACAACTAGAATATGCAACTATTACTGGGGGGCTTTGGGGAGAAGAAAAAGGGGGGAAGAAAAGAAGATTGGCAACAGATGTTAGCTCAGGTGCCAATCTTTAAAAAAAAAAACCCAAAAACAAAAAAACAAAACCAGTTTGTGAATGTGTCTGCTCAAGAATGTGAGCATCCTGGCAGCAAGAGGGGCTCTCTGGCCAGACCACACACAGGACCAGGCATCCTTTGTAAAGCACGTAAGAGAAGCCACATGGCTGGTGGCAGCAGCCACACTTAGGACAGGAGGGGAGAAGCAGGCAAGATTCTGAGACCTGTGCTGGGACCTCCGGCAAGTGTGCTGGGCTCTGTGGAGAAACACTGCCTTGCCGGGCTCGTGGGCCAGGACCCTTGGCTATGTGCCAGGAAGGAACATTCTTCCATTCAAGAAAAAGGGATGGGTTTGAAAACCATGGTCAGGAACAGAAGTTGCTGCACCAAGAGATCTTCACCATTGGAGAGGGAATTCACAGCAGTTACAAGGGGTGAGGGCTGGGGGACATGTGAGCTGCCATTCAGTTTCTGTCTTGCCCGTGATGTCATAGGCATTTTTCCTGCTTGGTTCTTGATGCTATTTCTGCTAGAACTGAGAGGAAGCCCATGTCTTGGAGCCCCAAGCAAGAAGGGAAGTGGTTTCAGTGGACGCCAGTCCTGTCTGTCATCTCCGAATAAAAGGAAGTCACTTTGCCTGCCTACCACAGGGCGACCTCTTTTGTGCCTGCCCTTCTGGGCAGGACAGAGACTCCAGAGCAGTTCAGACAGAGCAAAGTCCCCAGGCTGTAAGGGCTGAGAGACCCCATGGAAAACATCTGTTCACAAGGAGAAAATAAAAGGGGTGTGTTTACGACATTCCTCTCACTGACGTCCGTCCCTCAGAATTCTGAACCTTACGCTTCCTGCCTTATTAAAAAAAACAATGAACTTGAAGTCTGGCAAGAAGGCATCTCCCCGATCATTGGCCAAGAATTCCCTTAACACACACTTGATCTCTCAAGGGCTCTGCTTTCCTCATCTGAGAAGTTGGCGGTGATAAGGCTGAGCCTCAAAGAGCAGGTGGTCAGGGCCCCACTGAGTCCTCGGTAGCCCCCCGCAGGGCAGGAATGCTCCTGTCTCTCTGCAGCAGCCCACTCGCCATGACCTCATGCTTCTCCCAGGGCGAAAGGAGATGAGGTGTGGAAAGGGCTGCCCCGGTGCCAGCTGCACCCAGTAGGTGCTCAAGGTCAATGGCATTGATGATCATTTTTATTTGTGTTACCTGTTCTGCTAGGTTGGACTTTAGGGGAAGATCCTGGGGCACATTATTTAAAGTTGGGGTATTCGGCGCTCTGAGGCAGTGTAGCTGGTGGCTAAATGGCTGCGTGCCTTGGAATCCCAGCCTCGCTGCTCACTTGGGACCTTTGGCAAATTATGGAAGCTCTCAGAGCCTCGGTTTCCTCCTCTGCAGAATTATGGGAGTGGTGATAACACCTACTTCATGGGCCTGTTACGAATCTAAAAAACATTTGCTTTTAAGGATGCATTCGCCTTTTTTTTAACGGTCAAACTATAGGAAGAGAAGAACACCGATGACTCTTCACCTGACCATGAACAGAGGTTGTCTCCAGCAGTGGGATCATAGGCGCTCTTCCCGTTCTACAAGAATGATTTTGGTAATATTTGATTTTTTATAGTAAGCATGCCTGGCACTTGAAATTGGAAAACCAAGATTGGAAAGTGTAATAATGCAGGTAGAACATTTTAACCTGAGCGTTCCACAGCTGTAGGGCTTATTATTAACTGGGTGACCGTGGCCCAGCCCCTTGTCCTCCCATGG